GAACTCCTGAGCTCAAACGATCCGCCCAACTTGGCCTCCCAGAGTGCTAGGATTATAGGTGTGAGCCACAGCGCCTGGCCCCTTTTTCATATTTTCAAAATGTTACTTTAAAGATGTAAAAATTTTAATTAACCTGCTACTATCAGCATATTCCCGTGTCATGTTTCTAAAATCGAGGTCTGGAAAAAAGATTGATGGTTATTGAGATTCTTGCAAGTCTATTAAGCTGGCTCCTGCGGCTAGAGCTGTAGAGATGAAATCATGAGTTACTGCGTATTGCATGAGTATTTTAAGTGTTGTAAGAAAATCAGATGTAGTCATTATTACATTTGTATTGATTATAATTGTACCAAAGCCCTTACTCATGAGAGAATATAAAAATACGTAGTTCTTACTCACATAGTAGTTTGTGTTTCTTTGGAAGTTAAAATTAATAAACACAGACCCAATTAATTTCTCATCATTGGCCTGATAACCAATTTTAAATAATGAGATTTGTGATTAGGTATTTTAAATCATTTAAACAGGATATAGTAGTTAGTATATGTGAAATACTTGTGCAACATATACAAGCCGTTTTTCAAATACGGACTTAACTTTATTTACACTCACTTTGGGAATGCATAAACACCAGGGGGACCCCTAGAGGAGGTTCTTCAACGTAGTGGTGGGTGGAAACCTGAGGTTTCTATGTGCGCATCTAGCCCTTATCTTTTGTTTTATTGATGTCATTCCAGACATGGATTTCCAATCTGCCACCCCTTTTTTCCTTCTCTTTTGCTGTTGTTTATTGCTCCAGTGGAAGACCTTGAACTTCACTTTATTGTTTTAATACTTTTAAGAAATCAAAATAAGCATGCAGTCTTCCATATACAGAATCTTAAAAGCTAACTATTTGAATTACAAATTTTGCTTTCAAGTTTGACAGTACCTATCCTGTTTAATTTCATATTTTATTTATAACTGAATTATTCTAAGTAGCATTTTGCATGCTGCAGCAAATAAAGAAGGCTGTTCTTACTAAGTTTAGTGCCAAATACTGATGTTTATACAGCTCAGTGATGAGATTATATGTACATTTACCCAATAGTGTAAATATTCAGCAGTTACTCTAATCGTTCATCACGATTGTGCCCTCAGTTTCTTTATCTACCCAGAGTCACAGAATCAACTATAGATTTGTGCTAAGAAACTCAACAAGTCAAGTGTGGTTTAGTATTATTTGAGATTACTTGGATGTTTTTTGAAAGAATTAGTGAACATGGATTAATGGAGAGTTGGAACAACCGAGAAAGAGGAACAAAAAAGAAAGTAGACCTGTGTGTGGCAGAGAAGTCAAGGTGAAGGAAGCAATGAGTTTTAATGTTTGGGATGTTAGGGTGGGGAAGAGGGGATAAATGGAGAACTTTGAATTTCAGGTTGTATTTTATCTAAAGCAAGAGGTGGCATCTATAGCATTCTGAGTTTAATACATCTGTCTTTTAAGCAAATACCAGCCTTCCATTCCACTTGAATCCTAGTCATCTCACAAGACCCAACTTGTGTCAGCCATTTTGTTTGTATTTTTTCCTGCATCGCCAGGCAAAGCTAATTGTGCCTCTGTTGTGACACGCAACACAGTGGATTATAATTACCTGTTTGCACATCTTCAGACTCTTGAACTCCTAAGGGCACAGGGACCTGTCTCTCTAGCAGAGTGCATGGTTCATGTGTCATCCTAAACAAATGTCATTGGATTGTTGTAGCAATTTAACAAATAAGAGCTTTGCACGCATTTCTTAAGGTTTATTATTTAATGCTGAAACTTAGGTATTTTTTTTCCCTCTTGACCTTAGATCTTTTCATGGCCAATTTTGAAAATATTTAAATATTTTTAAGCTAGCTTTAAAACATTTTCTTTTGTTGTAAAGAGTTTTGTTCTTTTCGTTGTGTAAGTAGCTTAATTAGATTTTTGTTTTTGTTTTAGATAATGCCTGTGTTCTTTTTGCCGTCTCTGTTCTTATGTTTATAATCAGTTCAATGCTGGTATATGGAGCAATTTCTGTAAGTATCCTATATTTTCAACTTTTTGAATTTGACCATTACTTGAGCGGTACTTAATTTCAGATAGTGATATAATGTTGTGGTTGTTTTTTCTACAGTATCAAGTGGGTTGGCTGATTCCATTCTTCTGTTACCGGCTTTTTGACTTCGTTCTCAGTTGCCTGGTTGCTATCAGTTCTCTCACTTACTTGCCAAGAATCAAAGAATATCTGGATCAATTAGTAAGTGTGTGTGCATTAATTAAACTTTTTTCATTTTAAGTAAAACATTGAAGTTCCAAGTCAGCCTTAGGTACTATTTTTAATGACTCCACTTGCTTTTTAAAGTGTCTTAAAGTAATTATATCTGCTCTTTCAACTACTGTGTCAGAACCTAAAGATGAATATCACGAAACTACTAGCTTAGTTTTTGTTTTTCAGTATAGCACAGGCATAATAATTTGACTGTATTTGGCACTCATTAAATGATTAGCTTTTTATCTTTACAGACATCCGTGGCTAATATTTGAGTGCCTGCTCTGTCTTTAGCCCTATGCTAGGCACTATTGATGAGTGGTATAGAAAGATAACTTGCCTGTCTTTAGGGAGCAAACAATATATTTGGGGAGTCAGGATGTATGAAGACGTCTGTGATAACACACTTGAGCTGTCAACATGGGAGTAGTAAATAAGGAACTTAGATGGATGCCATATAACGGAGGGGTCAGGGAACGCTCTGGGCTGAAGTGGCCAAGGAGGGCTTCCTGTAGGTGGTCTGGAAGGAGGTGTGGGGTCCCGATAGGTGAAAGCTGCAAGGGCCATCCTTCGTTCGTTTCCAAAATACTGTCTTTTAGAACTTTTCTCTTTACTTCCACATATCCTGCCTAGGTTGTTTTGCACACCACCAAATTTATTGTTCATTCACTCAAAACATGTTGGTTACTCTTATGTTCAGGGCACTCTGGTAGGTCATAGGGATATGTCAGTGGAACTCACTTTCTGGCAAAGGAGTCAGAAAATTGACAGAAATGCAATCGTGGTCTACTATGGGAGTGCACATCACATGGGTACTGGACCTGGGCTGGGAAGTGAGGTTTGAATTATACTTAGGAGTTTGAATAGGAATTAAGAGAGGGAAACTGCGGGAAACAGCATTCCAGGTAAGAGAGTGACCTGGAGATAGGGAGAGGCATGGTACAGTCAGGGAACTAACAGATAGCCGTGGTGGCAGGCACACAGGGAGAGCCTGTTGGCTGGGGCAGCGATGGTTCGAAGCTTCTTAAGCACTGCTTTCCACTCATGTCATTTCTGGCTGAAAAATCACAAGTGCTTCCCTGCCTTCTGAATGAAATCCCTATCATAGCGTACTCCCATGGGCTGGTCCCATTCTATGTGTGTCCTTTTGTTTGCAGACGAAGACTCCAAGACAGTCTTTTTCTGAGGAGACACTTGGTTAGGATTTGGGGAGTGAGTGGTGCGTGGGGAGTTCTTCTTTCTTTTTTTCTATTGTTTTGGTCTTTCTGTTTGCGCTGCTTTTTTTATGAAAATATAATTATTTAGGCCTTTGTGTTGACATTTCCATTAAAAACAGATACAAGCTAAAAAAAACAATTAGATGAGCTTTATAGAAAAGAACATCAAAATGAATTTACTATTCCTTTTACAGACCCCATTATTTTCTTCCCTCTGTTTTATTCACTTAGTTTCTCAGATTGGAAGGTACTTCCCGTGCTGGCCAGCTTTTAAATCGTAAATTTTTCTTTTATAATGCTCTTCTTCCTGAACTTACTCATTGCCTTGTACACAGTCGGGGCTGAATAAATATTTAAATGAATACAGCTGATCCTTCTCAGTAGAACAGGGTATGTCTACGCTAAACCTCATCATCTTGCCTGGCTTTATAACGAGTGCCTTCTTTTTGCCCCTGTCTGGTAAGAGTTGACACCAGTGATTGGCTTTTAGAAAAGTAATTTTCCCAATGTAGGACTAAATGGCCTGTAGGGCTTAGATCTCAGCACCTCCTGAGTTAACTGACTCAGTGACCCAGGGACAAATCTGGGGTCCCATATAGGAGATAGTGTTTTTCCAAAGGCCGGAAATATGGAAAATAGTGAAAAGTAAAGAGAAAATGAGCTCAGTTTAGACTCTTAGGATTATTGTGGGTTTTCAAACAAGTATATTTTAAGTGATTATAGCGTGTATTAATAGTGATAGTGATGAGGCTTAAAAGCACTTTGAATTCTGTTTATGCATTTTTATTAGAATATCACTTCTGACTTTGGTGCCCTTTGTTTGTATTCTTAAAATGCTCTCTAGGTTATTACTAAGTGCAAATGCGGTGGCTGAGTTGTAAATGTGTGTGTTTTTTTAATAGCCTGATTTTCCCTACAAAGATGACCTCCTGGCATTGGACTCCAGCTGCCTCCTGTTCATTGTTCTTGTGTTCTTTGCCATATTCATCATTTTTAAGGTATGTTGCTGACTAAATCTTTAGGGGCTAGTGAGACTGACACTGTCTATAAATCTCAATAGACTGAGGACTTTTGGTGACAGTATTTATTCTGGTACAGCAGTGGAGACAGCGTCTAGAGAATGTCCTTGGTCTTGTTTCCAGGGATTGGTTGGAAGTGTCAGGATCCTTCCATAAGCGTAGGGAACATCTTTATGTTTTTGAAAGTGGTTCATGATTTGTATTGAAATCTGTTTTAATTCCCAAGGTTCAGAAACCCAGAAGAATTGAAACCCCAACTCTGATTTCTCTGTAAAATGTTGGTGATAAAATTTGTGACATTTAAATGAGAGCAGGTAGGAAAAGGGCCTGGACTGTTAGGTCTACTTACACAGAGTCAGTTCCCTTCTCCACAGAGGAGATGTGGGAACGCTCTGTAAGTCACTGCATTTTAGAGCAGTCTGTCTGTTGAGTTTCTGGCAGGTGTAAATTTTGTTTTTATTCTTTCAGGCTTATCTGATTAACTGTGTTTGGAACTGCTATAAATACATCAACAACAGAAATGTGCCGGAGATTGCTGTGTACCCTGCCTTTGAAGCACCTCCTCAGGTTAGCTACTGTTTAATCCAGTAAGATGTTGCTAGCCGTTACTGGTTGTTCCAAGAGAAGAACCTGGAGCTTGACTTTATCTTCTGTGCTGTAACTGTGGTTTGGGACATGAACAGCTTAAATCCACAGGATTCAGCATTTCCTAGTGGGAATCCTGAATACGTGAGGCTATAGACACTGTGCACTGCTTCATCTCATCCAGCTGGCTGTTAGGTTTATTAGTGGTCCTCACGAGGGTTGTGTCTGTGGGGGAGATAAGACAGAAAACAGCCATGCTAGCTCATGTAGCTTCTGGGGCTTCGGGGTGGTGGAGGGGAAGTACCATTGACTGAAACTTGTGATGTTTTCACAAAACATCCATATGATCCAAAGGGGGAGCTGATCTGTCTGGGGGAGATGAATGCAGGCAGTGGGTTCTGTGAGTCTCTTGCCTCCTGGAGCCCGCTAATTGTTGCTGCAGGCTAGAGTGGCACTCCACTGCATTGGCGTGCCTGTTACCCTAGAGGCACATGATACAAGTTCATGACTACAAGCAGATTCAGATGAAATTCAGGATCCAGCATCTCATTGGAGGCTTCCTATAGCATGGTTTAGTGGGACCCCCTTAACCCAGATCCTTATCCCCTGAGGTGTAATTGGCACTAGTACTTTATCAGTCACGCTGGAATGATGGGACAGCAGTGGCATATACTGCCTGTCAGAGAATCCTTGTAGCCTCAGGGTCAGCCCAGAAGCAGAATTCTGCCTGCCTGTTGCCCTCCCAGCCAGCCATCTCATCCACCTCTAGCAATCTTGGTAAAATTCCAGGTTATTCAGGCATCTACTCTCAGGAACTTTTTAGCTAACAGTTTATTTGGCTCTTCTTTATAGATTTGTATGTGCCTATTTAGGGCATAAAATCTGAAATTTGAATGATTCCCAAAAGGATTTTAAAGGAAAATTAAGTCTAATACTTTTTCTTTCTTTAGTATGTTTTGCCAACCTACGAAATGGCCGTGAAGATGCCTGAAAAAGAACCACCGCCTCCTTATCTACCTGCCTGAAGAAATTCTGCCTTTGACAATAAATCCTATACCAGCTTTTTGTCTTGTTTATTTTGCGGAATGCTGCAGTACAGGGCTCTTCAAACTTGTTTGATATAAAATACCTTGTCTTTTGTTTAAGCATTCATTTTCAAACACTAAGGAGCTTTTTGGACATCTATTAAATCTTTTTTGTTGTTTTATATTTTATTAGTTTTTGAAGACAATCTAGGTTAAGTGACAGCGAAGCACCATTGTTTGCCTTTAATTGGGGGGTGGGAAGGGAAAAGAGGGTATTCTCCACATGTTTTCTTTTTTAACTTTGCACTTTCTTTATATAATAGTTTGCCCTGGATACTTCCAGGAAGAATGAATTAAATGTTCAGGGTGAGTGAGTTCATATAAGATCTGAAGTTTTCAACTATGTAAACAGGAAAAATTTATGACATTTTGACTTGACTGTGGACAATAATGGTTGCATGTTTCTAATGTGTATGTTTCCATCTTTGTGGTAAAACGCTTTAATAAATCCCTTAAACAGTAAACTGTTGTCATTTTTCTGTTACTTCTTTTTTTTTTAAGGTAAAGCCTAATGTTTTCTGTTATAGTATATTCAGACTGCCAGGGTTTTTTGTTAACTTTAAGAATACAGTCACCCCTCCATATCCATGTGTTCTGCATCCATGGATTCAACCGTGAATTGAACATATTCAGGAAAAAAAAACTGGATGGTTACGTCTATACTGAACATTTACAGACTTTTTTTCCTCATTATTAATATTCCCTAAACAGTACCTAGTACTATTTACATGGCATTTACATTGTGTTAGATATTATAAGTAATCTAGAGATGATTCAAAGTATATGGGAGGATATGTGTAAGCTCTCTACACCATTTTATATAAGTGACTTGAGTTTCCCCCACAGAACAAGAAGATGACTGTACAATGCTAGACTTTTAATTAGAAATCATTTCTTTAATTCAGTAATTCAGAATTATTTAAAGTTATGGTGAATATATTAATATATCAGAAATTAATATGGATGATTTGATAGAAAAATTACATGATTAGTGTAGCAAGCTATGTTTACGTGTTGTGATTATTTGGTTAGGCACTGAACTCATCAAGAATAATTCAAATTCGGCCGGGTGCGGTGGCTCAAGCCTGTAATCCTAGCTCTCTGGGAGGCCGAGGCGGGTGGATCGTTTGAGCTCAGGAGTTTGAGACCAGCCTGAGCAAGAGCGAGATCCCATCTCTACTAAAAAAATAGAAATTATCTAGACAACTAAAAATATATAGAAAAAATTAGCCGGGCATGGTGGCGCATGCCTGTAGTCCCAGCTACTCGGGAGGCTGAGGCAGGAGGATCGCTTGAGCCCAGGAGTTTGAGGTTGCTGTGAGCTAGGCTAACACCATGGCACTCACTCTAGCCAGGGCAACAGAGTGAGACTCTGTCTCAAAATAAATAAATAATTCAAATTAAAATGCATCAATTGACTTCAAGAGGGGAACCAAATAAGTTTAGAGATCTAGTGCATAAGTCTAGAGATCTAATGTACAGCATAGGTCTATAGTTAATATTATATACTGAAAATTTACTAAGGAGATTTTAATTGCTCTTACCAAAAAAAAGTATGGAAGGTGATGGGTAGGTTAATTTGCTTAACTGTATTAATGATTTCCCTGTGGATATGTATGTCAAAACAGCATGTTGTACACCTTAAATGTGTACAATTTTAAAAGAGGGGGAACCAAAAAGAAAGCAGAAGCAAACTGCAGTTTTATAGGCACAACAGTTTAAATTTTGTCTTGAAAATATTCCACCTTGCATCTTGCTAAGAATGTAGCAATGTTGGCTTTGTACACACCATGTGGGCACATGAGTATACTTTACACATCTTTCAAAGGAAGAGCAGAATTGTTTGGCTGTGAACTCACTTTCGTAAACACATAACCACCACCACCTCTGAATGAAAAAGTGTAAGCTTTATGTTTAGAAAAGGAGTGTAATATCTGGGATTATACTTCCAATGGTGGAAGATGTTTTACTGATCTATATTTTTAGAACATTTCAGAATCAAGGATGACTTCTGTGGGCTAGGTCTCACTTTGCTCCTTTATAAAAACCAAAAAGGAAGTTTCCTAATCCATCAGGTTTTGTTTGTTATTGCTTTAATTCTATGTTGAACCATGCTGAACAATATTTAGATATTAACCAAGCTACTATTAGCCCTTCGCTACTGGTGTGATTTTGTGAAATGTTTGAACACAGGACCCTAACCTGGCGGGGCTCAAAGGAGTTTGCCCACACCCACGGACAAGCTCATAGGCCCTATGCTTGGCCGTGAGGGCCTCTAATCACTACTTCATTTGAAGCAGGTTTGTCTTTTGGAAAAGGACACAAGTCATAGACTTAAAATAGAGCAGTCACAATGTGTTAATCATTTCCCCCAAGGAAGGGGAAAAGTTTATGACTGTTAGGGGGTCATCTTTTCAGTAGAGGAAAATTGTTTTCAGGACAGTTAATATCCTATAAAATATGCCAAAATATTTGCCTTAAAGAGTTAATTTTTCCCTCTGCTAGTGCTAGAGAAAAACTTTAGTAGATTACTTTGTATATTTGAATCTCAAATCAGAGACATTGAAAGATAAGCATTTAAATGTTCGGCCTTGTTTTTAAAATACAAAGCAACTTCACCTTTGAGTGAGTAGCTCATAAATTTCACCATTCTGACTGCTGAATTATGACATTCCCTCTGCATCCCCACAAAAATGTCTCATGAGATATTGATGCCCTCTTAAGTCGCACAGTCTTGTGACCCTTTCTAATTTCTGTTTTGGCTTTTAGCTTTCAACATTGCTGACTACCCAACCTTAAAACTCACTCTTCTCTACAGATTCAATGCAATTTCTATCAAAATCCCAGTGGCATTTTCTTTTAGCAGAAATAGAAAAAATCCTAAAATTTATATAGAACTATAAAAGACTTTGAATAGCCAAATCAATCTTGAGAATAAAGAGGCATCACACTTCCTGATTTCAGTATGTATTACGAAGCTACAGGAACAAAACAGTATGGTACTGGTGTAAAGACAGACATACAGACCAATCGAACAGAGAGCCCAGAAGTAAATCCACGCATCTGTGATCAACTGATCTTTGACAAGGGTGCCAAAACTACGCCGTGTGGAAATGATAGTCGCTTCAACAAATTGTATTGGGAAAGCTGTATAACCACATGCAAAAGTGTGAAATTGGACCCTTAACACTTCACTCAATTACTTAAACATAAGACCTGAAGCTTCAAAGCTCCCAGAAGAAAACAGGAGAAAAGCTTCATGACATTGGTCTTGGCAGTGATTCTCTGGATATGACAACCAAAGCACTGGCAACAACAAAAAAAAGTGAGATTGCATCAAACTAAAATGCTGCATAGTAAAGGAGACAACACAGTAAACAGGCGACCTACTGGCTGGGTGTGGTGGTGCGCACCAGTAGTCCTAGCTGTTCAGGAGGCTGGTCTGGGAGGATGGATTGAGCCCAGGAGTTTGTATACAGCCTGGGCAACATAGCAAGACCTTGTCTCTTGAAAAAAAAAAAAAAAGGCAACCTAGAGAATAGACGAAAATATTTGCAAACCACGTATCTAAGGGGTTGATCTTCAATATATGTAAGGAACTCCTACAGCTCAATAGCAAAAAAACTAATACCCAATTAAGAAATGGGCTAGGCTTGGGCTTGGATAAACATTTCTCCAGAGAAGACATACAAATGGCCAAGAGGTACATGAAAAAATGTTCAACGTCACTAGTCATCAGGGAAGTGCAAATCAAAATCACAATGAGATATCACGTTACAACCTGCAAAGATGGTTATTAAAAAAGAAACCTGGTGAGGATGTGGACAAGTTGGAATGCTTGCACACTGTTGGTGGGAATACAAAACGATGCAGCCCCTATGCACAATAGTTTAGAAGTTCCTCAAAAAAATTAAAGATGGAACTGGCACGTGATTCAGCAATCCCATTTCTGGGTATTTATGTAAAAGAATTGAAATCAAGATTCCAAAGAGGTATTAGCATTCCCATGTTCATTACAGCATTATTTACAATAGCCAAGATGTGGAAATAATCTAAATGTCCATTAATAAAGAAAATGTGGTACAGCAGTTCCCCCTTAACCATGGGAGATAGAGCCCCAATAAATGCCTGAACTTTAGTAGTATGGAACCCTATATATACTGTTTTTTCCTATGCATACATGTCTATGATAAAGTTTAATGTATACATTAGGTACAGTGAAATATTAATAAATAGAACAATTATAACAATACACTGTAATAAAAGTTATGTCAATATGGTCTCTCTCAAAGTATCT